GGCTTACTGAGTAGGTTGCTGCTTCTGTGCTGCTAGCTGCTTGTCTAGTAGTCCAAAGACTGGCCATACCCTTGAATTGCCCAGTGTCCTCTAAATATGACTGAAGATTTTGCTCCAAAGTGAGAGGAGGAGCTGTAGCAGCAGGAAAAAGGCGTAGATAGACACGCTGCATCAGCATAAAAATATCCGCAAAGCTGAACTCCCCAGGGTTAAATGGACGGAACTTTAACCCAGGATGGAGAATAATAGCAGCAATGAAGATATCCTGATCTGCAGCCTTCCAGCGCTTTTCGACACTGGAAATAATAGTCCTGCAGGCCGTGTCGTCATCTGCATCAGCTCCTTCTACTGAGCGAAGAGAGTTAAAGTGATGATACAGCATGCCAAAGACTAGAGGGACATGGTCAAGGCGGGTTGATGATGCCTGAAGGATGTCCGCAGCTTGTGCAAGCGGTCCAAGATGGCTTTTCGCACTAAATTCAAAGCTTAGAAAAATTCTAAAACAAACAAGTATTCAGAGCCCGACCGTGCCAGAGAGTGCCAGAAGTAGCCTGTTTCTATAAGCTTGATCATTTGTTCTGCTTTTGCCCTTGCCTCAGGTTTGCCAGTAATGAGTAGACATTCAGATCGGTTCTCGTCCTCTTTCAAAAGGATTTGAAAATCGTTCCGGACTTCCAGAAGACGGCGATATGCAAGATAGTGTGCGATCCAACGAGTGATGACAGCTCGTATAATGGTAAGAGTTCTATGGCGTGTGCGCAGTTGAACTTCCTGTAGCAGGCCAAGGATGCAGGGGTGGCTACGAAACCATGTGATGAGCTGATCGGCCATTCTTGCCTGTGCCAAAAATCGTGCCCCGCATTTGTTCAGATAATCTCCGACAATGAGATTAATCTGGTGGGTGTAGCAGGGAAAGCACAGAATTCCTGGAAACTCCACAGCAATGGTGTTGCGAGCAGATAAAGACTCGCCACTATTATCTGTGACAAAGGCTATAAGGCGTGCTCTCCAGCTAGCTGACGTGTTGTTGGTGACTTCCCGAATCACAGCTCGGATATGAACCAGTAGTAGTTCCGCAGTCTTGCGCTCTGCTGTAGTGTCTTTGAGAGAAACTGGAAGAGACTGCAAAGAAAAGTCAGCTTCATATATGAGTAGCTTATAAATATAGAGTACTTGTCGCTCCGCAGTTATTGAGAACCCTTGGAAGTGGTGGAAATTTGAAGCTGACCAGCCATCGGTATGAAGTGTTACAACCCTGCCCACAACTTTGGCACGTGATTCTGCTCTGAGGACACTCAAGGCTGATGGAATGAGGCGGTTTGTAAGTGTCTTCCGAGAGAAGGGGCGTGCACTAGGAACAAACTCAGAAAGGAATCGCTTCCACTCCGGATCTTCAACCCATGAATGGGGAAGATTTGCAGATGCTGTAAGGCGAGCCAACAAGGTTTCAAATCGCTGCTGACGCTGAGGCAACCAAGTCTCAGCTGCAAGGCTTGGTAAGTCGGATAGATGCGGTGAAGGTACAAGTGAATATTGTGAAAGTGAGCGCCGTAGACGTTTGCTGCCAGCAAGTGGATAGGGACCATACGCTAGCTCTGGAGTGGAAACAGTAGATGAACTTGCAAATGGAAGGTCTTGAAGTCCAGAGATGGTACTGAGCGGAGATGGCGCAGTGACTATAGTAATATTTCCGATTAAATAAATACAAAATTCAAGCAATACAGCAGGGCACGTACCTCCAGTTGATACAGGGGTACCATAACCACTTGATGCAGATCGTCTGAGATCATATGGTGAGGGCGAGATGGAGGGTAACATCAGCTGTGCGGCGCCAACTGGCTGTGGCATAGCAAGAGGCCACGGATTCAGCGCGAAATGTGCAGCAGAAGGGGGATCAGCCACTCCGAACTCGGCTGTGGGTGCCGTTGATGGTCCTGGTTGTCCAGCGTGGGTAGGAGGTGGGAGGGGATATGGATAATGGCCCGGCGTAGCTGTGGGATAGGCACCACCAACAGCTAGCGGTGCCACCGCCACGGGCATGGCCATCGATGCGTGCCGGCATCTTTGGTTGCCCTGGCTTGCTGTCGGACTGATGGATCTTGCTCGCCGCAGTTCTCAAAGTGCGTCAGCAATGTATTCTTGGCTGCCGCAGCCAAAGATGGGACCCGGCGAGGTTTTGTCAACGTGTTGCCGGCCCACACTAGTAGATATG